ATGCATTTCTCGTCTCCCCCACATGTGCTACATGCCTCTCCCATGTTCTGTGAAGATTTAAAATTTACTACCTGTCCACATGTAACAGCTTTAAGGCACTTGGTGAGAAGAACTTGCATTGCGTCATATCCCGAAATGGGACAGGTTGGCAGGATGAGCTGATCCCTTGAAACGCAAGTTGGGGTGTCTGTGTACTGCAGCTGAAAGTCAGCTTGGTTGTTTGTTACAAATAAGTATAGTACAAAGATTTCCGTCTTCTGGGTTGTTGCGCTGTGTAGTCTGGTCGATGCTAACCAACGTTTCAGAGGTCATACTGCCTCCATCACCAGGGCGATGAGTATGAAGATTTCTGTCTTCTGGGTTGTTGCGCTGTGTAGTCTGGTCGATGTTTACCAACGTTTCAGAGGTCATACTGCCTCCATCATCAGAGTATGAAGATTTCTGTCTTCTGGGTTGTTGCGCTGTGTAGTCTGGTCGATGTTAACCAACGTTTCAGAGGTCATACTGCCTCCGTCATCAGGTCGATGAATAGTATAGTATAGTATAGTATAGTACAGTCGACAAAATCCCTGAAGATGAGAGACGATTGCCTAAGCTAGGGGCGTGCCAGCTTCTAACAAAGAGTCAAGATTATTCTGGCATGAGAACCATCAAGACTCGAGATCAAGAAGCAACTGAGAAAGGGCGGTAATTGTGATTTTGTATTGGCTATGCATTGAATTATGTTTCTTGTTTCAGACGTCGCAGTAATCCATAACAGCGCTCAGCCTGATCCATGTGTTGAAGGAGACATTTCAGTGACTTCAACATTATCTGCTAATGCAAAAGAATTTTACCCCCCAAATTATCAGTCTCAACAGTCAAAGGATTCCTACAATTCTTCTTCACAGTATGAAGAGGTATGATTTCCATGTGCTTAATTTGTGAGCCATATCGGTAAATAACTTAGTAAAAACTGCAGCTAATCTTCTAGTGCGAATAATAGAATATTTGAGATTTGCTTGATAACTGGAATCAGCTTCAGTGTGTAAGTTATAAAGAGTATTATAATTTTAATATATCATGTGAAACGTTTTACAGTGCTGTAATTTAATTTAAATATGAATGTGGGAACTTTTATTAAGAAAAGCAGTTTTATTACTTATAATTAATAGATAAAGTTTGTAAAGTTGACAGCCCTCCTTCCCACAGAGATTTCTAGAACAGGTGAATATCTATAGAAAAGTGATTTTGGGAATGTTTAACTATTTTGGTTAGTACAAATTTATAATTGAGCTGGTGTAGCTCAGTCAGTATAGTGACTGGCTACGGACTGGACGACCTCTAGTCTCTGCATCCAGACTGGCTGTGGGGCCCGTCCAGCCTCCTATCCAGTGAGTACTGGGTTCCTTTTCTAGGGGTAAAAAGGCTGGGGCGTGATGCTGACCCCTGACCCCCATCTAGGGCCGAGGTCAAGAATGAATATGAACTGTACCTCCTCTCCCCCTAAGCTCTTACATGGCATATATTGGGACAGCTTTACTTTTACTAAAATATAGAACAGTATTACTGGTCAACACTTTGATTTTTAGATTTTTGTGAAGTTTTGTTTTTTCTTGCGAAGTAAACCAAACCGGTGTTAAATGACAATTAGTGAGATGGATTAAATAAGATCATGGACTGTAAGGTTTATTTTTTAATTTTTTAAGCAGTTTTTGAGCAAGTGATATTGCCTAGGAGGTTGCAGTGGTGGGGACATTATGTCAAAGTGATCAACATGTACAAAGGCAGGTGGCACAGATTTATGCCTACAGGTAGCATCTCCTTCACGCTTGAAGTAGGTCAGTACTTTATATATCGATTCCCAGAAGCTGAGTGCCTCACAAGAATACATGGCAGTAGATGCACAGAAGTGTCAAAAACTTGGCTGACATCGATCATGTTTTTTCACTTAAATTTGCTGGAAAAACTAGTGGAATTGTATTTCGTTTCCTCCGATTCACTTCAGCAACTGTTGATGCTTTCTTGTAAAGGTGGCGACTGATTTGTAACATTTACTCGTAATGTAACATTTGCGGCGAGCATTTTACTTTACACCACAACTGATGAGGCGTATCGAATGCTCGTTTTGAACGCTCGGCTCGACTGTGCTCGTGTGTGCTCCATTCATTTCATTCAATATGTCGGACATGGAGGTTGTGTTATCTTTGTTCCATTTAATACGCTACTCTTATCTAAAGAACTCGTGAATGCTCGTTACGAAGCCGCTCGACTGACTGACTGACTTGTAATGTAACACTCAAAGGGATTCGCGAAAAAACCGACAACACGATGGAGCGCCCGCGAGCGTGAGCGGCTCGCATCGAGCGGCTCCGTTCGCTGTCTTCACTTGTATAATGCTCGATTTGTAACACGTTACATTACAGGCAAATGTTACAAGTCAGTCGCCACCTTAAGACTTGGCTTGCTATATATAGGAAGACAGATGGTTTGTTTTATTCTAAAAACTTGAAATATTTTGGATACCCTAGCACAGCGTTTCTCAGCCCATGGTACGCATACCACTGGTGGTACGTGAACTAAGTATGAAAATCGATCAAAGCTGAAATTAACTGAAATGGAACCTGGCATTCGAAAGCTGTGTTTGGCTAAACACACTGAAGCCTAAATTGGCCTGTTATGTATCCAAAAATGTGATTTTTGTGCAATAATTTCCACTATTATGCATTTGAGTAGGTATTAAACTATTCACTAATTGAGTCTTATTTTGCACATACCTTTCAGTATATTTTATGTAGGATTTCTTTCAGTAAATGCAGTTATAGAGAGAAACTGTTTATCATTGACGTACATGCACACGTGGTGACCGCGAAACGTTAGTTACGCCACTGGGGGCAGGCATCAAGTTTTCCCTGAACGCATTTGGTTAGTGGTACGCCAGTGAAAAAGGTTGAGAACCCCTTCCCTAGCGCTATTATTATGTGTGATGATGGTCTTCCCTTCTGTGTATACACTTGTCTGATCCCTGGAGCACAGAATTTTTAGAGTGAATTCACAGACAATGGATGAATAAAAATTCCATCTCCAGTTTGAATCCTGTGTGTATATTTGACCTATTCTTGGTCAGGGTATTAGGAGCTTGTATGTGCGTATGATATGAAGGTATTTTCAACCGTGATTATTCTTGGAAATCTTCTGACATATAAAAGGCATATGGATTGCTATGTTGCTAATAATTACGTACTGTATAAAATTTCTTTTTATTCAGTCTCTTCTTCTTTGTAAGAATAAAAATATTTGGTTTGTAGGTGCCCCGTCAAAACGTGCTACCATTCCAAACGCCAGTCGTCCCAAACTCGTCACTTGGACAGGGATACCTAGAAGGCATACGTTATTCTAATTGGTCGCCTGTAGCACCTTATTTAGTTTTCAAGGTTTGTCAGGCTTGTTAGTTAGTGCATGGACTGAAAAGTTTAACGTTGGTAGTTGTTCTTTATACATATTCCATGTATTTGGTGTGTCAAATAACAGTAAGGAACTTCTGCCTTACATAAACTATTAACCAAACATAGTAGAAAATGTATGTTTACTAATTATGACTGTCTTAATACTCCATTAATTTCAAGTGGCTTAGAACTTTTTTCTACCTTCACCAATTTTCATGATGGTGTGTTAAATTATATAGGGTGTATATAAATTATCTTAATAACTTTACTCATGAATAAAACCTTTATGAGTAGACATATAAACACTGTTTGATTGTCATCTGCAAGAGAAACTCTCATAGTCTTTCTCTGAACATTACACTCATTCAATGTTGGTTCCATTTATTGCATGTACAATGTCCAGGCTACATTCAACCTCCATCCATATATGCTGCAGCATGTCAGCTAAAATTCTGTCCTTCAACTTGTTGATGTCAGTCACTGGAGTTTGGTACACAGTCTTTTACTATCCCCGTAGGAGCAAATGACGTGTGATATCTGGTGATGTGGCCAGCCAAGACATGGGACCAGGAACGGCCATTCCGTTGGGTTTGGAAATGCTAATTATGAGATGCATGCACAATGAAGCCGCAGTGTGGTGGTGCGCCATCTTGCTGGAAGAACACGGCAGGCTGCAGTTCTTGTAACTGTGAATAGATGCAGTTTTCCAGCATATCCCGGTAACTGCTGGATGTCGCAGTCACTTCGGCAAAGAAATATGGTCGGATCAAACGATCGTGCAACAGACCACACCACACATTAATTTTGGCTGTCTCTGTTGTGCTCCGCTGTGGAATGAGGGCGTTCTGATCCCCAGATGCGTGCGTTTTGTTTGTTTACCTTCCCTTAAACGTGGAATGTAGCCTCATCAGAGAACATTAATTTCCTCTACTCTGGAATCTGTTGTCTTCATCCAGTTTCTCAAGCACGGTGACTGAAAATTTCTTACAGGTTACCCTGTCATCTGGTATAATTACCTGCACCACTCGTAACTTGTAAGCAAACAGACACAAATGTTTTCGCAGCATCCAGTGCTCTGTCAAATGCAGAATTTGCAACTGACATGCTGCAGCTCATGTTGACCTGCGTGAACTGCAGACAAAGATCCTGTGTATCCTTTTAACATTTCTATCAGACGCACATGGGCGCCCTGTACCTATCTTGTGCAAATGACTTCCAGTCTCCTTAAACTGTTTATACCAGGCATGTATCAGTGATTTTGATGGAGGCATCTGGTGATACGTCGTTCTGAAACGTCTTTGGACCTGTGTGTCTGATTTCGTTTTGATGAACCGTTCCACGCACTTTGCCTTCTTCTGTGGGTTCACGGCGACTGACCTGATTCACAAAGATGGGGGGAGGGGGGGATACCATCTACTGGGAACTCGTTGGAAATGTGAGAGTACCTCTTGTGGATGACCCTCAGTTTGAATATTTTCATAAAGGTTTATTCATGAGTAAAGTTATGAAGATAATATATATACATCCTATAAATTTGGAATTTATGTTGTATATGTGGTGTTTATATTTGTAAATATGCAGTAATTCAAAATACCAAAATATAGTTATAAATCTTAGAAGCGTACATGCCTCAAAGTATCTAATATTCATTTCATTGAACCAAAGTGTTATATTACACTAGGACTGTCACCTCATGCTGTAATCATGTTTATGCATGTCATACTGTCAGGATCCATCATTTTTAACATAATTGAAAAAGAAAAACATTCATTGGTGCTTGGAGGCAGATTGACACAAACACGTTTGTTTTACGATTACAGAATCCTTTCCATGTTCTGTTAAATTTAGTAAATGTATGCCGTCGTTTGTTTACCTTATAAATGTTAAGTGTGCGCCAGTTATTCTCTACCAATCATGTGTCATGGCTGGAGGTGAATTCTCCACTCCTCCATTTACATGAGGATCATTCTTGGTTATAGACAAAGTATACATACAAGACTAAATGGCATCAGAACCCATGATCCATGGTATTTAGGTTATTCATTTAACTTGCATACTTTATATACCTTTCTTTCTTGGCTCTACAACCCAGTTGTGGTTCTTCGCCGCCTCCTTTTCGGATGTTTTCCTAGTCTTTGAAGCTTGCGTTAATGAGTAGTGAGTGACCAGCCCACTCACTCTGCACAATTTCTACTCACTCCTGATTTTACTGCCAGAGCCATCTAGCAGTGAATCAGGAGAGACTTCGGTGAGAAATGGCCGCTGAAATTTTGCTTACGAGACATCTCGTTCATACTCGTACGGTTCTTTTACATGCCGTAAATCTACGACATGGGACCGCCGGCTTTACTTCCCCTCCGAAGGAAGTTGTGCTATGGATGTTTATCACCTCTGAAGAATCCATTGTCCTCAACTGGGTTTCAACCCGCGTACCTTGGGTCCAGTGGCGAGCACGCTAGCCACTAGTCCACCGAGGATGACACTTTATTACCATTACTTTATTTATTATAGCTACAGTGAATGTTCCAGGTGAGTGGCTAGCACCACCACTACACATTTTGGACATAACAATCTCTTTTTAAAGCACGCACCAAGTCAAGAATTTTTGACTTGCTTATTTCTTCAGAAACCTTGAAAAAAAATTCTCCGTGCCTGAGATATGCCATATATAGCATCCAACACCGTAATTTTTTTCCATGATGCTGTCATGTTGCCAGCATCATTGGCCATAGTTCTGAGGATGTCAGCCCAATAGCGTTGTTTGACAGACACAATCACTTCTTGGTCCATGTGTTGTACAACAGTTGTGACATTGGGGAGGCCAAAATCTTTAGAACAGTGAGTCCATTGGCAGAAGTCAATACTCTCTCTCGCCCGGATGATAGGGGGCATTGTCTAGCAGCAACGTTGCTCTCTGTGACAATCCTCACTGTTTCAGGAATTCCCGAATTTCTTCTGCAATCAATTTTTAAAGATCTACGTATCCATCCATTCTCTTTGTGGTTATAACCATGAACAACCTCAGTGAGGATAGATGGTTCCTAGTTGAGATTCCAATTGGCACCTCAAAAATACAAGTCCCGAACTTTCCTGTTACACAAGATTGTTTGATTACAGGTAGAGAGTGTAGTTTGTATTGTATGTACTAATATGTGGGAAAACACTAGTGTTTTTGGTATGATTTGGTAGTGTACTTTGTATGTTTCTTATGATCATATTTACTGTTTTGAACGAGATTTGAAGTCTTCATGACTGTGAGAGTTCAGATTGTTGTCCTGGGGTGAACACCGTGTGATCTCGTAGGTATCGACATCAGTCTTATGGGTTGCAACACCTTGTGGGCTTGTCTGTAGGTACCAGCGTTTCAGAGGAACACACTACCTGTGTCTCGGAAGACCAGCATTGACATCTTTACCGTTATGAGGATCTCGTAGTATTGTAGGCAGTCACCAGCGTTTTGAAGCAACATACATTGAATCCTGAAGATGTAGTCAGTATATTCTTCTGAAACAGTGGTAATAATGTACAGGATTGCATGGTGTTAGAACTCAAAATACCAAAATCTAAATTTTGTAATTTTGATCTGTTGATGTTTAGGTAATGAGTAGTTTTGCTTTTAACTTTCATCTGCTGTTGTGCCTTATAAGTAATCTTTTGCTACAGCCTACACCGGTAACAGGTGGTGGTCCTCATCACAACTCTTCAAATCCAGCGTCTGAAAATAAAGAAGAACTGATTACAACAAATCACCTGATTGAAGTAATGCAGCATTTGACAGTTCATCCAGGGAAGTTTGACGTCTTAATTACTCCATTAGTGGACACCTTCAGTTGTTGGTTGGGGGATGAAGACAAAGTGTCTTATATAGTTAACGCAATTGTGGAACAGGTGAGTTGCAATTAAGGTTTTTTTATTGATACTTTGTCACACTGTACAGATCATTGTGTAATGATGATATCAGACCATTTAAATACACTTTCTTACAGTATGTTTTAAAGCATTGAGCGGGGTCGGTACCATTAAGTGATATTTGATGTTCTCACTGTGGTAAGTATGAAGATGGCTGTCTTCTGGGCATGTAAGTACCTCTGAAACATCAGTGAACATCTACCAGATTACACAGCACCGCAGCCCAAAAGCCAGCCACCTAGATACCATTAATTTACTGTTGTGTGATGTAGTGTCGTCACGTGTTCTCCATTTTTAATTTTCGTGTTTGAAGCACCTTCACTCTTGCACGTCCTACTTTTTGCATAATTTTTTATGCTATTCTGAAATATACATTTTTGTTACACTGTGTTTTGACTATACTTAATCAATATGTACGTTGCTACATGGTTTTGCATCATAATATGTTTTTCCTATATCTTCAGAAAGTGTATATATACCTTCTCTCTTTTGTAAGATGTTCTAATAATGTACCAGTAGTATATTACAGTTGTTCTGTTGTTTTCATTTGTCATATGTGGCTATAAAAATAAATTATGTTTATATCACATTAGAGTAACAAAATTAAGTTTTTACGGTGAGGGATTGTCAGCCCCACGCTCAACCCCCAAGCTGGAGGACCATCCCTTGTCGGCTGTCCGTGACTGCTTATTCAACATATTTGCAGCTGCCCTCTATAGCTGGAGGCCTCTTCCTCCATCCGCAACCTGAGGACGCAGCATGCCGTGGTGACAAGGGACCCTCCTAACATCATATTGAAGTAACTTTTGTGTAAAATGAAGTTTTATTTATACAGTGTGTCTTACTTGTACTGTTTGTTGTTGGCTTCGTGTCATGTTTTTGTATGGAGCTGTGCGTATGTATGGCAGTGTTTCCTGTTTCTTTGAGTTTGAGAGTGAAGGGGAAGGGACAGTAAGAGGGTGGTAGTAGTAAGTGCTGCTATCTATTTGGAGAATTTTTATGAATTATTTTGAAGGTATTATGGTATAGACCATAGTGTTGTAGGGTTATGTGCATAGGGAAGGTGCACCATACAAATAAAACTTCATTTTACACAAATGTTACTCTAATATCATAGAAACACAGTTTGCTTTTGCGGATGCATATGACAAAATAAAACGGGAACAACTGTAATATACCTCTGGCACAAAATTAAAACATCACTTATTAAAAGGATTTAGTATATGTAGTGTATTTTTCAGGATTTAGAAAAAAACATATTATTATGGAAAAACGTGTAATAACTTACTAACATACTAGATGGCTTACAGAACCCGAAGGTTCGTCACCGAATTAACTGAAGTCCTCCATTGGACCCTGTCCTGGGCCAACAAAATCCAGTCTCCTTCAGCTCCTATCTCCCATAGATCCCGCCTGAGATTATCCTCCCATCTACGTCTAGGTCTCTCCAGAGGTCTCTTCCCCTCAGGCTTCCCAAATAGTGGACCCAACCAACCAGATGGCTTACAGAACCCGAAGGTTCGTCACCGAATTAACTGAAGTCCTCCATTGGACCCTGTCCTGGGCCAACAAAATCCAGTCTCCTTCAGCTCCTATCTCCCATAGATCCCGCCTGAGATTATCCTCCCATCTACGTCTAGGTCTCTCCAGAGGTCTCTTCCCCTCAGGCTTCCCAAATAGTGGACCCAACCAACCAGATGGCTTACAGAACCCGAAGGTTCGTCACCGAATTAACTGAAGTCCTCCATTGGACCCTGTCCTGGGCCAACAAAATCCAGTCTCCTTCAGCTCCTATCTCCCATAGATCCCGCCTGAGATTATCCTCCCATCTACGTCTAGGTCTCCCCAGCGGTCTCTTCCCCTCAGGCTTCCCAACCAATACCCGGTGCACACCTCTTGTCCCATCCATGCGCGCTACATGCCCAACCCATCTCATTCTTCTCGACTTAATCACCCTGACAATATTAGGGGAGGAGTACAGATTTTTAAGCTCATCATTATGCAGTTTTCTCCATGCCCCATCGTCTTCTCTCCTAGGCCCAAATATCCTCCTCAACACCCTATTGTAATAATTTACAGTATGTATAATTTGCAGATCTTATGATGACAGAATACAATCAAAACGTAGTCCAACAAAAGTTGGCATTTTGCATTATTGCGCAAGAGTGAAAATGCCTTTTCACGCTAAATTTTGTGAATAGAAATACTGGAAGCTTACGACGCCTCTCATTGTAATGTAAGTGTGTACGATAAGCAAATGAGAAAGTTTTTAATTCCTTTGATTCGTAATTTAAGACTAATAATGGTGTTGTATAATTGTGAATTGTTTTACAGAAAATTAAGTTAATGAGTCTGTTACTGCGCTGAAGTTCGTACATTTACCCAAAATCCAGTAACCATTTTCACTGTGTGATGTGCAACTTTGGGTATCACTATTTTTTCTTTTTTCATTACAACCGTGGCTGCAACAGCTTTAGGACTGATAGATTATTTCTTCACATTCCTGATCATGATTTTCTATGATAATGGGGGTAACAGATGATAGATTTAAGAACTGGATTTGGTAATAATTTGATCTAACTCTTCTTACGTAACGATTCAATGAAATCTCGGGCGATCAGCCGTGTTAAACATTAAAACCGATGTTGCAGGGACTGTCCTTGTCCCCATCATCAGAACCCTGAAACGTCGGTTTCATTGTTTAACCATCTGACGCGGCTGACCGCCCGAGAAAATTTTATTGAGTTACGTTGCCATGAAAGCTTCAAATCATATATTACCAAATGATGTCAAGTGCTAATCATGTGTGATAATGTTGTGATATTAATCTTACAGTGAAGTCTTCTTGGGAAGTCAGCTGTATGGGACTCGAGTTAGTATCCGCTATTTCGGAGACACTCTGCCTCCATCATCAGGGGTTATGATGGGGCACAACTGTGTTTTGCGTGATGACTAGCCTAACCTGACTCTGTTCTCAAACAAGGATATCAGACACCAAGAGGTAACCGTGTCTGTAAATACAATGGGAAATCGTTTCATTCATCACATCAACCCCTGATGATGGAGGCAGAGAGTCTCTGAAACATTGATAATAACTTCATTTTCACACGTGATTGATTTCTCAAGAACACTTCATTACATTCAGCCACCATGAGATATTAAAATGTAAATATTAATATTTATTTTCAGTCAATAACTGAACCAAATTTCCGATACAATGGAGCAAGATTTTGTTCCTTTCTTAACAATGAATTTCCTCCAGGAGAAAGATCAACATTCAGAGCTTATCTTCTAAATAGGTAACAAACAGGCACATTTCCTTACATATGTAAGTGGTGATGGCAGTTAAGCAGCTGCTAATATTAAATAAATTATCATCATTGTCACAGTTCTCTTTTAATAAAATTTAAAGCTTTCTTTCCTACCAATTGCAAATGAGTTAGAAGTTTGTGAAAATTTGAAAACTACTCACTGTGCAAATGTAAATGACACTGGTGATTGTTATAGCATCGTTAAAAATCATTATCAAGAGCTCCATTTCTCACAGCATTAAAGATGTCAGAGTGTTGGTCTTTTGCATTGTAATGCCATGTGGACTTCTAGGTAGATTTTTTTTTGTAGTGTTCTGTATGACGACAGGTCCATATATTATGAACAGGATCCTTCCAACCTCTTCAGGTTGTCAGGGACCTGCTCATACATATATACATTCTTGGCAGAGATGATCAGAAGTGGTTTGCCATTGCCTTCTTCTGTGTGTGAATGGAGTAATTGTTGGGATGCCACGGAGAAACTGGGGAAGCCCCCGGAGGAAAACTCTGTGATGCCTAGACCACGGCCTTACCCAACACAAGTTATAAATTTGAGCACCACCGGGAATTGAACCCGGGACCCCAAAGCTTACAAGGCTAGTGTTCTGACCATTAGACCACCGTGGCGGTCTAGGTAGATAACATACTGTTTCTCTGAAATGTTGCTATTTACTGTAGAATTTTGAAATATCTTAAGACTGCTAAGGCTATTTCAGTGCAAACAAGCTGTTAGTCTGATGGAGGCTTTGCTACCAAATCTTTTACGCACTACAAAATCAAAACGCACAGCCAGACTTGAGGCAAAACCACTTAGACCGTGAGGAAAACTTGGTCTTTCAAAATCCAAATAAGGAATCTTACACTACTTATAATTCCGCCAGTGTTACAACCCAGAATGCCAATATTGGAAACGTTTAATTTAACCAAAAATATATTATTCTACTCTGACATGTTGTTTCTGTTTATGCCGCAGGTGTAAAGAGGAGCACGTGCAAATATCAAACTATATTCATACACATCCAAGAAGACTTCATGGCTTTGTATTGTTCATGGCAGAGTTGTTCATGCAACTGGAGTGTGCAAAAGGTTATGGTGAAAGGATAACAATTCTGGGGACTGCGTTAGTGGAAGATCTGTCTTTATTAATCACTGAACCTACATCTGAAAATATTAAATGTACCTGTCAAGTTCTTAAGGTTAGTAATTTGACATGAACTTTTTTGTGTGATGTACTCTACAGTTCAGATTTGTAATGAACATGGGTTAGCATTTTAATTACGATTTTAAAATTGGCTCTGAATGATTAAAATTGTTTTTGCCTTTAATATGATTTATTGTTTGCTGCAATATCATTATTTACCCCTTCTATAATAATTTGGCCTTCACAGTGGTCACGTGGTCTGAGGCGTGGGCCTTGTGCCGCTTTGTCACTGGGACCGTGGGTTCGAATCCCACTCAAGGCATGGATGATTGTCGGCGTCCTTCTGTGTTGTGCTGTCCTGTGTACAAGTAGAGGCCTTGCGACGGGCTGATCACTCGTCCAAGGAGTCCTACCAACTGTCTTATAGATCAAAGCCAATGAAAGTTGGGACCCGCAGAGGCTCAAGGCACTGAAGAACAGGTCGCCTGAGTATCCTAAGTAAGTAAGTATTTGAGGTTTTCACGGCGGTAGAATCTGAAGATTGCTGTCTTCTGGGTTATTGTGCCATGCAGTCTGGTAGATGTTTAAAGTTTGTTCTTTGGAATGTAATGCAGGAGAGAATTATGTTGCATCCATTATTAAGAATATGGTATGTTGTCTTGTTGACTTTAACTTCAATTTCCCACGTCTCTATCTGTATGAAGTCAAATTTTTCTTTTCTGTTTTTTGACATTTGAGTTAAATAAAAACAGTTTATAGCATACTTACTTGGTCAAAAGGTATGTTTCCATTTCTTTGTATAAAAGAAAATTTACAACCTCAGGTTGGTAATAAGATTAAGAGAGTCCTGTTTGTGTATTGGCTGTGCACTGACGTACATAAACTGAATGTATTATGTTGGTGTAGGCTGCAGTGTGGTTGATACATAAGCAATAGTCTGTTCTTAACACTGGACATGTTATTGTGCATTAAAATGTGTCCACAAACCAGGAGAAAAGCCGTACGGGGGGAAGTTGTTTCTGGGGCGGTGCAGGGGGAATGTTTACTGCCTGGTGGACTAGAGGGCTGCTATTGGTGGGAAGTGTTTTACGCTACTACACACAGACTGAAAACATCAAGCGGTTAAGAGTAGCGTGTAGTTGAGTGCACCTGTATTGTGTTGTGATAATATTCTAGATTCAATCACTGTGCCACTGTGAGGTAATCTTAAAGCTGTATCCATTAAACACATGAAAGCCTGTTGTCTGTTCATTCAGTGGTTATGGAACGAATGCCTTTAGGATGAGTCGTCACTCACCGCGAAATCTTGCGCATGCTCGTATATCGAATTCCTAGCAGGGCTTTTCTCTTGGTCTGTGGACTGTATGTTAGAAACATTACCAACTTTTAGGTATTTTGTTTTGTTTGTAGTTGGCGGGTCAGCCTCTGGATGTGCAGGAGCCAGTGATTATGAATGAAGTAATGGAATCCCTTTTGCATTTACTGAACAACCCGATGGTCGAGTCAAATGTCCGTCATCTTATCAGCAGTGTCTTTGAATTGAGACGTGCCGGTTGGGGTGATGCATCAGGCTTCATGCCAAATACGAGCACAACACAGCCATCCAATCCATGCCTGGTAATAATAATAATTAATAGTGATCTCTTCTTTGTCTCTCTGACCACGATCGTCTCACTGCAGTAATTAACCACCACTTACTGAGATGTCCCAAAGGTCATGCAACCTGAAGTTTAAAGGTAAATATTTTGTTAGTGTGATAGGTAAATTTCAACTTGCTGTGCCCAGTGGCAATACTAGACTCCTGTCACTCAGTGAGCTTTTAGTTTGATGCCTTGTCTTTGTATTCATTTCTCTTTAGTCCATTTTTAATGATCATTATGCTGTGTAGGGCTTGAGGTCTGAAGATGGCTGTCTCTTCTGGGTTGTTGCGCCCTGTAGTCTGGTAGAAGTTTACCGACTTCCTCTGAAGGCAGCAAGGGCCTCTGAAACGTTGGTAAAAGTCTACCAGTCTACACGGCGCAACAGCCGAGAAGAGAGCGCTGTCTTGAGCATTATGCTGTTTTCAACATTGCCGTGCGTGTTTATTGTTGATCATTGTTTTCGAATGCAATAGTGTGAAGCAGTTAAATAGGCATATGAAGTGAATTTTCTTGATGCTGCTGTTCCAAGTAATTTTAACATTTTTTTACTCGTAAATCAACTGTGCCACTCTTTGCAGATTTTCTGCAGATGTATTGAAATGAGCCGAGTCATGTCTGCAAACAGGGTTTATATATTTTCAACATGTTCTAATAATAAACTTGCATATCATTTAATATGTATATTAACATGACATTGAACTTTGGGTTGTGTGACTTTTGGTACATTCTATATTAAGCCCTGGTTCGTAATTGCTGTGATTTTCAATCCTTTATAAACTTAAGAAGCTGTACATTGTTGTATTTATGCTCATGTATGTCACTGTCTCAAGTAAGTCACACCTTTGTTTTCTGATTGAAAATTTGCTAGTTTTAATCTTATGTAAAAATGTTTGATATGTATTTGTCCAGTAACAAGTACCATAATTATTATACTTCATATCTTGCATTTTTCAGTCAGCATATTTTATAATTCATGCACTTGTTGTAGTACTATTTATTTTTGGAATCAGTTTATCAGTTAGTCATAAAGTCGATACAAGTTAATGTCATTAACATATATTTTTTTATTTTTTTAATGCGCATAACCTAAAAAAATGCTGAATGCTTTTTAAAACTCAAATGTTTCTATGCTCACCTTTGTTGATATTTTTGGAAGTGTGGAATCTGTCGAAGAAACATGTATTTTTTTGCAGATATGTAAAACATAAAATGCAATGCACAGTTTCAGTTGTCTTTCTTCAATTTTATTCATGACTGTGGAAATGTTTTTCTTTAACAGCAGAATTATCCTGTTTTCTATGGACCAGATGGACAGATCATGACTCCAGAAGAGAGCCAATTCCTAGAAGAGAGTGTGGGTCGTATTCCTGATTCAGAGGAGTACGATGATTGCAGGTGAGTGTTGGGTCAGTTCGTATTTTCCACGCTGTCCTCGTGCAAATTTTAACAGTGGTGGAAAAGTGTGCTTGAATTTGATTCCATATGTTTTTGAGGTGCTTTACTTGTGGTTTGTCTGTCTTACTGACCTTGAAGTTCATTTATTGCAAATATAAATCCTTTATTCAATAAATCCTCTTCGGCAGTCAGCTGACTCACTGCAGAGTAGAACTTCGGCTTTAAAGAGACGGTCCTTGTCTACATTGTGAGAGATAGGTCTGGAGTAATTGTCAATTTTTGTGAATAATAAATATTCTCTTAACCCCTTGAGTGGGCTAAGTGCACATATGCGCGGATGATTAACGTGGTGGTGAGCATGCATATATGCGCACTTCAGAAAAAATACTCTTTCTCAGAAGGCTAAGCTCATATATGCGTGCTGTTTCTGTCGTGCCTCAATCGAGTGTTCTGCCATCTAGCGAAAAAAAATTTTACTAAGTGGTGGTGCTCTAAGTCGTAGTAAGCGCGCCTACACCGAGATTTGGATGGCAGGGGAAAAACAGGTAACCACGCAAGACAGAACAATAGTTTTTGGCGTAATGATTTTTTCCTAATTAATTTGATGGGATTGCAAATTATTTCTTGAACTATGTGAACAGTAGGTCCCGCAAGATATTAAAAAATTTATGGTGAATTACTGCACTAAATCCAATGGAGATAGCGGGGGGGAAACAAATGAGAAATGTTTTAAAAATGTGGTGAAATTGTTAGTAAAATACCTAAAAATTTAAACAACATGGAAATTTTGATTTCCATACCTAATAAATATGTATTGTCTGTAATGTACCAAAAATTCACCATTATTTTAATAAAATAAAAGAGCCCCACCTGGTGATGCAATGGCATGAATTTTTACCCACCCACTTAAGGGGTTAATCCAGCAAAATGTTACGTGAATCAACCACAGAGAAGATGGGCATTGCCGAGTGGTCACCCCATCTCTGAAGGCCCATCACAATGTAGCTTAACCTGGAAGCTTATGCTTCTTCCTTGTTTGCTGTCTGGATGTTAGATCGTTTGAATTGCTGGTGTGAATCTACCATCTCTGTTAAAGCTGATTTCTCTCTTTCTGCTGAATGTATGTCACTTCACAACTATTCCTGATGATCATTCTCTGAAATAATCTGTGATACACTGGAATTTGTGACTTTCCGTTGTCTCATCTGGGTGAACACATAGTAGTTTTTTGTGTTTTGTTCTTTATAGTGGTTCATAGTTGAATTGTATTTTACAAGTCTCATTGGGGCTTGCTAACCCATATTTGATCAATGATATGTAAATCCATAAGGTTTGCAGATGGGTGTGAAACTTGGTCTCCCGTATTAAGGGATGAACACAGATTGAAGGTTTTTGGGGATATGATTCTTTGGAGTATATTTGGACCTAAGGGGGGTGATTGGCAGAAGGCTGGAAGAAAATAGCCGTATAATCAGCGGCTACTTAATTTGTACTCTTTACCAGATATTAGGTTGATCAAATCTCGGGGGGATGAGATGGGAGAGGTTATGAAATGGATATAAAATTTGGTTGGTTAGGTTAGGTTAGAAAGCCTGAAGGGGAGAGACCCCTCAGAAGACATAGACAAGGATGGGAGAATAATATTAAAATGGATCTTAGAAAATTAGGTTTTGAGAGATATGGCTTGGATTCATCTGGCTCAGAATAGGGAAATCTTAATTTTTTAAGATTCCTGCTTTGACATTTGAATTGACCACTAAGTAAAGTGCAATTTCACACTGACATAACTGTATTGCAGGCAGAGAAAGAGAACCATAGATGAGGAAAAATATTAAATTAATGAAGATTAAATATGGTTCAACCACATGTACATTAACTGAGTTTAAGCATTCATGGTGATTCATTATTGATGTTGAATTTGCTCTTGATTATTGGCACCACTTATGAATTTGCCTGTTGCCAACATTTCAGAGGACCATTGTCTGTCTTGTCAGCCCTGTTGATAGAGGCAGCATGGTCTTCTAAAATTTGAGCAACAAGTCAATTTCTACATGATGTGAGCACCCAAGTGCAGGTTCAACGTCACACGTACTTTGTTAAATGATTCTTATATGTACTGTTCGTTGTAGCCCAGTCAGTATAGTGACTGACTACATGCTGGGTGTTCAGGGTTTGATCCCCGACAGAGGCAGAGGGTTTTCTGCTAGCCTGAGCGTCTAGACCGGCTCTGAGGCCGACCCAGCTTCGTGTCGAATGGGTATCAGGGTCCTTTCCCAGGGGCAAAGCACGGCTGGGGCGTGACACTGACCACTCACCCCGTTCTAATGCCAAGGTTGAGAATGAGTAGGAGCTGTACCGCCTCTCCCCCTAAGCGCCTACATGGCACTTAATGGGATGACTTTACTTTATTTGTTTACTGTTCAATGTACCTGTACTTGTTACAGTGAGGATGGCGATATTGTTTGGGAGCCAGATGATGAAATGGATGAAGAAATTCAAGCAGCATTCGAACAGTTTCTTAACCTCGGCAAGAATTAATCTATAGACACATCTTCCACCGATAAGTGCAGTGGCTTATTCTGTCCACAAAGCATGTTGTTGACATATGCCGACATCTACAAAATCTTGTGATGAACATATATGTCTTGCTTATCAGCTTAGTGTTAATTAAAGACACTGTGTTACAAATGTATTTGAATATGATATTATCAAGGACTGACAGACGTTTTGCTGAAAATGTATTTTTTTCTTTCTCAGGACAGGATGTGTTAACAAATGGAGCTGTATATGTTGTACTTTAGAAGCAGTAAGGTTGGGAGCATCTGCTGGTTGTGGCTTACTTAACCATATAATTATTTCTGTTCTATTGTTTTATTTTGAATATAAATATTAAAGTGAGCAACTTGGTAAATCACTTACTGCTTGAGATGTATTCTGCCACCCTCAGCGGCAAATGACAAGCTCAGAGTTAATGTGTGCAGTAGTTATATATTTGTGCCCAAAATGTCTCTTGTGTGATTAAAATAAAACCTTTTTTTATGAAAATGGGAATCCAAGTGAAATTCTGGGGCTGGGCAGTTGTACCATGTAGTGTGGTAGAAGTTTGCTGCCTCCATCATCAGGGCACCTTGATGATGGAGTTAGCAAGCACCTTTGAAACACGTGTAAACTTATACCAGATCCACATTGCACTGGATCCTTGTTTGACAAAGGCAAGAATCCAAGCAAGCTTGTCGATTGTAGGAGAGCATCTACATCCTCGTGGAAAGCTTTATGTGTTTCTCCGGATGTTGTATGTGTTATTGCTCCTCCTGATTCATCTTGGGTCACATTCATCACTAGCTACTGTTAACTGTAAAACCATGTTATGTTTACAGATTATTAAACGGTGACCGTTTTCTCCTGACGTACTAAAATAAAATAGCTCTGTCCCTTCTAATGCAGTGAAATCTCATTTAGAGTTTTAATATCTAAAATAAAGTTATTGGGCTGATAGCACCACGCACTAGTGTTTTAACCAGAACAGGCTGCAGTTATAGCATTGTGTGTCACTAACTAACTAACTAGATGGCTTACAAAATCCTAAGGTTCATCACCGAATTAACCAAAGCCCTCCACCGGACCCTGTCCTGGGCCAACAAAATCCAGTCTCCATCAACTCCTATCTCCCAGAGATCCCGCCTGACTTTATCCTCCCATCTATGTCTCCCCAGCGGTCTCTTCCCTTCAGGCTTCCTGACCGATACCTGGTGCACACCTCTCGTCCCATCCATGCGCGCTACATGCCCCACCCATCTCATTCTTCTTGACTTAATCACCCTGACAATATTGGGGGAGGAGTACAGATTTTTAAGCTCATCATTATGCAGTTTTCTCCATGCCCCATCGTCTTTTCTCCTAGGCCCAAATATCCTCCTCAACACCCCTGTCTTCTGATGACGAGATACTAACATGTACTTAGCTTTTTCTGAATTTACTTCTAGCCCCACCTGTCTACTAGCCTCTAGTAAAACTTCTGCGTTCCTCTTTAATGTATTTATTTCATCATCGTCAGCATACATTGTGTGTCACAAATATATTTATTATATTTCTTTGAAAATGTGAAGCATACCATAACCAATTGAGGTACTGCAATGAAATAGTAAGATTAAGTCTGTGGGAGGAGAATATGCTGCACCCCTAGTGCATGGGTCTGTGGTGCGAGGAATCTGAAATACGATTATTTATGGGTGCTGTTTTCAAGAACAAAGTGAATTTACTGATTCTTATTAAATTATTTTTAAGTTCAAAGGAATGGAAGAGTTCCACATGAATATTGTAGACTTACTTCAAAGTTCTAAATTGGTTTAAAATTCAAATTGTCCATACAGAATTTGTTGTGTATTGCAAATGAATTAAAGGGGGAAAGGCAGTATTTAACTCGGCATATTCCAGATTTAAGTATTGAAAGGACCATTATTACAAAAGTTACATACTAGTAATACAATAATCTGTCCTGTTGATTACCAACTTTCTATATTTTTCTAAATTACCATATTTATCCAAATACCACATGTCCCCAAACAAGAAGTGCCCCTAAATTTTATAGCACTTTAACTTTTTGAATGCCATCATTTTTTCTTCATGTGCATTAGGAAGCTTTTGTGCAATACTGATTTGCAATCTTGCACAGAAATCATAGTAATTTTTGCAGTGAACCTCGACCTGCACTGAATCTAAGTGCCTGCCGCTTTTCACGCACTGCCTTCAATTTAAATATAAAAAATTCCTCATACCCTTGGAAACTTTGCTTATGAAAACCTAGCCTATATTAACTTCTCTCTAGCTGTCGTAACTTCCACTGACTTTAAACATTTTTCTTCGATTTAATGGGACAAACTTAAATTTGATTATCAATCTATAGCGTAAATATTAGTACGAACATTCATCGAAAACGATTCAGTAGTTTCAAAGACCTAATTTACTGGTGAACAGTTGGTAAATTTCAGACCAGTTTTAGAAATGTAAATGAAAAGAGGGAAGTTGGGGGGGGGGGGGAATATATTTGAATAGGTTATGTGAGGCAGAGTAAGAAATGTTATTGTTTATTCAACATATATATAAATGTATGATGCAGGTAGGTGGCACCTTTGTCGCTACGCTACATACAGCTTGTCCTTTAATCATGTGATAAATGTTTAATGTCGAATTCCACATGGTTAGATTGCGTAGTCCCCAGACTGCAACAAACTTAGGGTGACCACATACGCTACGGCTTACCGGAAGGCCTGCCTTCCAAGTTAAAGTCGGAAGGTAAGCCTCAAACCTCTGAGGGTCCACAAACGTACAGACTTTGTGGCAGGTTTGTGCTGTCTTCTTATTTTTCAGTCGATGCTACAACGTGTTCAGTGAAGACGATGCGATTTTAATCGGTCTTGCTGTTACTTTAATGTTGAAAAGAAAAAGAAAGCTGAAACGTTCTAAGTGGGACAGAAGTTGGTTAGATGGATTAAAACATTCTCACATAAAACTACCTGTGAATGGATGAGGACACATATTTGGAGCTGTTAAACTAAAAGGATTTGAAGTTATCGGTGGCTGGTTGAGATGACTAAATGCTACAAGCATTGCGATTACCCTCGTCTCTGCCCAAACACGTTATGACTTGTAAACATCCAGTAAAACTCTAGGCAAAAAATCAAGCGACTAGATCATGACAACTGCAAATGTATAAAAAGTATATTATTCAACTCACACGCTCCGGTTTTCCGGAAGGTAGACCTTCAAAGACGTAAACCTACCGGTAAGTCGTAGATGTGTGGCCACCCTTAGGCCGACTAGATGCTACCTGATACTACTAGATCATGACAACTGCAAATGTATAAAAAGTATATTACCGAGCCCTAAAGGGAATCTTCAGCTTATGTCTTTTGTCCAAAATCGATATTAATAAATTTGCTACAGGAGCTATATGGCAATAAAGTTTGCAGTCGGAAAAATCATTCAATATGTTACATATGAGAATCTGTGTGTTCAGAAAAATCAATATTTTCTGTCCCTCAAGTCGGTAAACTTTTTGTGGTGGTCACTTTTTCTACATTACGCTTGTAGCAGGCTCAGTAAACTTTGGCAGTTGTATCACTAAATGGAAGGTTAAGAGCAAATTCAGTTATCACTCAGTAAATACATAAAGATAGGGGAGATTAACCTAAAATGACTCATCTGGGTTCTTGACAAATGTATACATGGAATGATTTTAAATTTTGCGCCTTTAGATTGATCATGTTGGTACTCAGCAACAGCAAGATGGAGTGTTATTCTGGTTTACAAGCGTTTTGTGTAAACGTGTTTTCTGTTGCTCCTGTTATGGTTTTACAGTCACAGTTTATTACAGTTTTCAGTGTATGTTTTGTGATCGTTTATTGAATCAGATATCCAGTGAAGAATTTGGAAGTAATCCATAATTAATGCTAATTGCTTCCATCCGTGTTTCTTTTGCACGTTAAGCCAACTTGGGTCAAAAGACATGGTATGTTTGTGTGAATTCTGTACATAGACATAGTTGCAGTGAGTATTTTTCTTTGTAAGCACATCATTTTACGTTCTGAGTTGAAACATAGTTCTAAGCAGATAATTTTACGTTCTGAGTTGAAACATAGTTCAAAACATAATACACTGTTCAGTACACATTGTTATTATTCTCATCACATTTCTTGAACTTTACATTTGTGTATCTGACACTGACAATCACTACTTTGATGCTTTCTACCCCATTTTTGATGTACTAGTTGTAGATTTTCCTTTTTATGGCATATGAATTTAATTTACCCACTTTTGTCCATGTATTTGTCCTGTCGTTTGCCGCAGAAGTTCAGGTAATATGATGGATTTACTCTGTGTTGCTCTTTTACCTGGGTACATATGCTGTCACTGGGGCCCATCATGCAATGATGCAGTGGAAGACAAAAGTTTAACACTTCTGTTGCATGCTCTGGTCATTTAGTCAACCATGTTATCATAAACGTTTGTGTTAAAAAAGTAGGCCAGGTATGTGCACAGTTAATAGCTGTTCCTATTTGTGATCTGGGCTGGTGCAAAGTGCTCTTAAGGAAGATACTGCAGGAAACTGTTACTTCTCGCATCCCAGCCCTTCCTGATACTGTATGGTTGAAGTTCAGATACCCACTCAGTTTTCCAAAGCTTCCATTTCATTAATAAATGTGCACTGCGGTTAGCTGCTTTCTCATCCCAGAGGGATTTCTTTTGAGTTTTGGTGAAATTTATCCCCAAAGAGTAGCCTTAAGAGATTATCTGACCTTTCGATACCATCTGCTTGGTGTGGCCTACAAAGACGCAGATTTCATTGAAATAAATTAATTTTCCAGAACAGACTGGTGTTTCTTTTTTTGTAAAAGTCTTTGTTTTGTTTGTTTCAGATCTAAGGTGATGTGCCAGAGTAAAAGTAATACCCTGGTTAAAAAAAAAAGCACTGGTTGGTGCGACATCATTGTCCTTAATGTTCATGCCCCAACTGAGGACAAAAGCGATGATATCAAGGATAGCCGTTATGAAGAATTGGAATCAGTATTTGATACATTTGGCAAGTATCACATGAAAATTCTGCTAGGAGATTTCAATGCAAAAATTGGGAGCGAGGACATCTTCAAACCCACAATAGGCAGCGAGAGTCTCCATGTGTTATATTTGGAAACCCACATGGTTCCACACCTTAAATTTTGACAATATAACTTTCACTTCTTGTATGAATAGTGAACTGAGTAATATGTCATGATAACTCATAGGAAGGACGTTGTGGTATTAAGATAGACAGCTCATACTGACGCAAGATGACCTATGAAATCACGCACTATGTGTAATCCACCGACGAACGCATCAGTCACCTAGTTATCCACCAATCAGAAGGCAATCTTCTGATTTCATAATGACCATTGTACTACTTTTATAAGTACGAGGCTCGTCCTTAAAGTAAGTTTCCCTGGGGCCGTTTACAGAAACAAAACACAATTTCATGGAAATATTTATTGCAACAGATACAGCAAGTGTCCAGCTATTTTTCAACATATTCGCCACCGGAATTGAGACATTTGTCATACCGTGGGACCAACTTTTGAATACCTGGGGATTTCAAAAAAGCCTATGACTCTGTGAAGAGAGAAATGTTATATAATATTCTTATTGAATTTGATATACCAAAGAAGCTAGTGGGTCTAATAAAAATGTGCTTAAATGAAACCTGTAGCAAAATTCAAGTAGGTAAATATGTATCTGAGACATTCTTCATCAAGAACGGTCTAAAACAAGGAGATGCTTTGTCTCCCTGGCTCTTTAACTTTGCGCTAGAATATGCCATCAGGAAAGTCCAAGATAGGCAGGAGGGGTTGCAATTGAATGGAACACATCAGCTATTGGCATTTGCTGATGATGTTAATTTATTGGGGGACGATATGAATACAATAAAGAGGAACACAGAAGTTTTACTAGATTCTAGTAGACAGGTATTAATGGTAAACCTACTAAAATGGTAAATGGCACCATAAGAGATTTCGTCACCACCACGTCAATCATTAAGCTACTTTTTAGACTTATAGCATATATTTAAATCTACATCTAATGGTTATTGTAGAAATCGGTTGATTTGTAGACAGTTTGTATTCTTAAGGTACCGGAGCCAAAGGTACAAAGCATTATTCCCACACCATGCGGCTCAACACGTCATTGAATCTCCCTAAGTGTGAGGCTGCCGGCGGCTCACACTGTAGTGAAAGTGTTAAAATAGTATTGTATTAAGATTTTATATCAAGGTCGGAGTCGGTACATTTTTACCGTCTCCGACTACACCTAAAATTGCTTCCAACTCCACAACTCCAACTCCACTGCTTTGCCCAGAAGACCATGATCTCAGTTGTTACTGAAGGGAAAATTTTGAATCTGAGGTACTCATTTTTTACAGGTCTCACAAGACAAGCCCCAAATGCAATTATCTGTGTTTCCATGCATACTACACTGACAGGAATGTTGAATTCTGATGACTTTAATATTTTTACATGGTTTTGGTGTGTTGAACCCACACTCAGTCAGAGTTTGTCCGACGTCAGTGTCTTGTTCTCAGATGCCCTCAATCTGTGGCTTCCCCTTAAAGTGAGACACAAGGCTTTACATAAATGCAAAATAAAACACTCTGGACTGTATAGTAACAAGAATTCCCTGAATGTAATCTGCTCTTAAATCTTTGAAGAATGTGGTTTTGGTTTATTACATTCATGCCCAAATATTTTATATTTGTTAACTTTCTAATAATCATTAACTGTCTTTATATTATGCTACTGTCCTGCATTGTTGTGATAAAATGTGTATTTACTTGGATATCCATTTCAGATACTTCCATTATTTCACATTAAATGTTACATGGGGCCTCGGACTGGTGCTAATTCATTGGGACAACCTGAGTGAAGGAAAATGGACGTGACATTTGGAACCTGGATTACAAGGAGTCTCTATGGGGCAGGTTCACTGGCAACAGTTGCAAGAGCATTAATAAGGTATAAGTTAGATTTAGAGGGAGGTCAGGAGGTCAGATGGGACTGTGGTGGCTCTGTAGGAACAGGCGAATATACATTTCTTTATGGAAAGGGGAAAGAGCATCATGAATTGGAAACAGGATTTTTTATACATAGGAGAATCATATCAGCATTTAAGAGGATAGAGTTTGTTAGTGATGGGATGTCGTGTGTAATACCAAGAGGTTGCTGTTTTGAATGTGCATGCACCAACAGAGCACAGAATTGATGAAACAGGACAATTTCTATGAGGAACTAGATCATGTATTCAATCAATTCCTGAAGTTGCTGTTGTTTCTTGGCTCTACAACCCGGTTGTGGGTTTTCGCCGCCTCCTTTTTCAGAGGTTTCTTGGTCTTGAAGTGTGCATTTATGAGAAATGAATGACCAGCCCACTGCCTCTGCACAATTTCTGCTTAACCCTGATTTGTCTGCCAGAGCCATCTAGCAGTTAATCAGGAGACTTGGGTGAGAAATGGCCGCTGAATTTTGCTTACGAAACATCTCATATCATGCTCGTAAGGTTCTTTTACATGCCATAAATCTACATCAATTCCCGAAGTACCACATGAAAATTTAGTTTGGAGATTTCAGTTCCAGAGTATGTAGAGATGTTTTTAAACCAACATTTGGGAACAAGAGTTTACATGAAACTAGTAATGATAATGGATTATTAGTGCACGTCGTAGGAGCAACCAATATTGATGCTCTTATAGGCTCAAACGTATTTGCTAAGACTCTTGTGAAAAATTTCTTTAAGAAGTATACTAAGATTAATCCACAGCGTGTTAACGAGTTTGCATATAATTTTGAGAATTTAGAAGTTGATTCGCGTTTGGAAATTGCTTTTGATGGTAAACCAAAGGGATTTGCCACTCCATCATATAAAGTTTTTACAAATGAAACCTCAACGGGGACCGTAGTGTTTGAGGTAGAAACAAGGATCATTGAAAGATTCATTGCGCCAGGATACGAGTACGAAGATTTAGAAATCGAGCGTACCGATTGTTTGCCAAGTTACGGAGGTGTAAATCATTTGACAGTCAACCACCCAGCAAATCAGACCACCTGTTCACCAGGGACCTCACAGAGTGGAATTGAACCTGTGAGTCATAAGAAAGGGAAACGTCGAGTGTCCAGGCGACCCACATACAGAGGATATGAGGCGCCTGTTCAAAGATCAGATTACGATCTTCCTAAACACTTACACCGAGAGAAACCTCAATACATGAACTTAACGTAACCTTGATTTTACGCACAGGAATTTAATAAGCAGAGAGTGATAATACATTTATTTTCTACATTTAAAGCTTTTCCCCTAAGTACAACCGTACAGCTGCCAGAGGTTCTGAGTCAGTCTGAAACAAAAGAAAGACAATAAATATTAATTTTCAAAAATGGCAACTTCAGTAGTGGGAGAAATAGAAATTTTAAGAGAACGTCTGGAAGGACTACAGACTGCTCTAACACGAAATTTGACTAAGGATGTGTCATTAGTAGCCGGATTGAAAGAATGGTCTGGGGACTCAAAAGGAAGAACGGATTCACTCAGATCGAGTCATTTGCCAAAGTCAGCCATTGGACTGAAGTGGATATGGCGTTAGTAGCTAAATCAAAGCTACAGGGTCTGGCACTACAATATTTAAATGGAAAAGAAGAATTATTGAAAGATTCATGTCCATATGGAGTCGTAAAAAGGCTTTAATCGAGAGATTTACAGATAAACTGCCTGATCAGTACCATTACACACAGCTACAGGACGCTGTACAGAACAAAGGTGAATCTGCCGAGATATTCGGAGATCGTTGTAGGAAATTATGCCTAAAAACGGTATGGAAAGTTGATGACGAAGCCATCCAAGTGATTTTAAATGAAGAAGGAGAACGTAGGTTAGTGGCAGCCTACATTAATGGTTTACGGGGCGTAGTGGGACCAGCATCTAATTTGTCAAGTTTACTAGGCCAAATTGCGTTGAAATTACCACGTGATGTTTCATTGATTACGAATACAGAGATAGATAACATGTATATTTACTATGATATTGCAAAAGTACAAGCCTATGCTACAGAAAATTCTACTCGATTAGTAGTACGCATTCCATTACGGGGCGCTGATCGAGCAATGTCATTATATAAGGTAGAACCACTACCCACCTTCTCTGCACTGTTGAATAGACCTATGCAACTGGAACCAGAAATGAAATATTTCGTAGTGACGGGAAACAGACAATACTACGCACTGTTGAAGCAGGCAGACATTCAGGATTGTAAACATGGACTTTTGACTATTTGTGATGCTACATTTCCACTCATTCATAAACGAGTTGGATCATGTATGTCAGCCTTATATTTTGGGCAGGACGAAGTCGCTCACGATTTTTGTCGAAAACTTATATTAAGACCAAATTTTAAACCCGTCTGGATATATGCCAAAGGGAAAATGCCTTTTTGGGTATATAGCTTGCCTACTTCAACTCGTGTCACAAAGACCTGTAAAATCAATGGAACTACCTATAGTAAAGATATGTTACTCAATGGAGCAGGAATTCTCCAAGAAGATACAGTAGGGCCCCGCTTTTCGGCGCTCCGCTTTACGGCGATTCGCTAATACGGCGCTCAACAGCTGAGTCAGAGAAGTGCATCCGGCGCCATTTTATCGTCGCTGATTCAGTCTGTTCACAGCGTTTGTGCGCTCCGCGTCTCCGTATTTCTGGCAATTTTTCAAAGTTATTACAAACTGTATATTTATATAATATTTTTGTGTTACTACAGTGAAATTACAAAGACGTCTAAGGGTAGTAGCGATAAAAAGAGGAGTCGTAAGCCTCTTACTTTAAATGCCAAGTTAGATATAATTAAACTTCGTG